CAAAATTTAAGTGAGGCCCACACATCTTTTGAGGTGAGTCCAAATGGTGACGTGTTCCTTGCCACATGGTAGGTCACAAGGTAAAGACGGATTGTCAAAATCATTTATGAGTGAATGAAAAGTTAACGTTGTTTTCGAGTTCGTGGTATGGGAAGTTGAAGAGTCATATGTGAGTTACATTCACTACAAGAAGTTGGGTCTTGAATGACGAATTATTTTTGTCACCAAAGAGCTAATTTCGTCACTATAGATATTTGTGAGGAAATATTTTCGTCACCGATTTCGTCATTGAATGATCGTCACTAAAGATCACAGTGAGGAAAAAGAATTTCGTCACTAATAAAATTACTTTAGTGACGAAAACCTTTGTCACCAATTAGACTATTTTTTCACAAAAAATCCTCATTTTCGTCACCAAATAATTACTCAGTGCCGTATATATAACTTTAGTTGACAAAAAAATTTGTCACAGATGTTGATCATTAGCGAGGAAATATTTTCGTCAAGGTAAGATGTAAAGTTGACGAAATTTTTCGTCTTCAAAAGTTTGATATAAGTGACGAAATATATTTCGTGGCAACAAGATTTATACATGACAAAATTTTTAGTCACCAAACAACAAAATTAAGCAACTTTCCATATATAAACAGCGTCAAATTTTGTCACAAAAAGTTATTTATTGCTGACGAATAAGAACTTTGTGACAATAATTGCATGCGACGAAAAAATTCGTCACAAAACTTATTGTTCCATATTTTATATTTCAATTTAAATTATTATTTCACAAATATCTCTGCTTATATTTCAATAGCCTTAAAATTTTACTAAGAAATCCATTAGCTATTATACACCACTCCACAAAAAATTCAATAAACAATTGATATTATAAACCAAAATATATCCATCAAACAAATTTAATAACAATTCATTAACTATAACAAAAAGACAATCAAAGCAAATCCCAAAATGAACTAAGTATCAATCCACAAAAAATAAATAAATAAATAAAAATCAACACTTGATCAGTTACAAGTAGAACTAATTATCAGTCTACAAAAAAAATTAACACTTGATCTTGATTTGCAAGTATGCTTCCAAATGTCATCCAAAAATCAATCTGCAAAGAAAATAAAAAAGGAAAACATTAATATATTATCAATTACATCTAAACTCATATATAAATAATTTTATATATGAGTAAACCAATTTAGCAAAAATGCATTTTCTACCGAAATTTGACTTTCATCTGTACTAAATCACAAAACAACAATCTAATTTGGGGCAAGTTCTTGCAAGTTATATGAACACCTATGAACCTGCCAATATTGAAAACAATCAAGCAACATGATGAGTTTTATTGTCATATAGAATGGTTCAATGAAACTTGGATCTTTGTTCTACTAACTCCAATTATCTCCCCAAATTTCACTATCTACCAGTGGATGTCCCTTTGATACAACTTCACTATCTCACACACTGTTTCTCCAACTTTGCTTAGAAAGAAACGAGAAATACCGATATGGGTTGATTGTTTTTAATGGGTTTTCAATTTCACAAAATTCAAACTAAAATAGATCAACATAAACAATATAAAACTAAGCATTTTAGTGTGTTATGATCATTTTCAATGTTTCAATGTTTGTACTAGCAATTTAACAATGTTGCAAAGTGTAACTTTCTTAAACAGTTGTGTTTTAACCAATATATACTAACCAACATAAGAAAAATAAAAAGATAAAGCAAGTTAGACTTACCAAAAAAGCGATCTACGGATGCCCCTCCCCTAAATTGCCCGTTAAAACCTTGTTTCTTAAGAAACTGGCAACTTGAGTCAGCAGTTTAGCACGCTCCTGTGGGGTCATGTCTCTAAGGTCTTGAAATGTCCTCACTTTATGCATTACATAACAAAAATTGATATTTCACATTACGAGTTTATGTTTTAACGTGTATATACATATAATGTGAGTGACATGCGCAAATATGTTTGTATTAGACAAAAGCATCACTCCAAAATATTGTAAAAAATAATTTAAAAGCAAACATTCAGCATATTTAAAATGTAATAGATATAGATTTCATTTAAAATGTAACAGAAAAAAAAATAAAACAGAGGAGTTCCATTTATGTACAGTGTCCAGTCACCCTCTAAATCAGTACAAGAATAAATGTGCACTGATATGTAAATTAGCAAAATAATAATAAAAAATAAATAAATAAGAAAGACATCAAACAATACAATGATACACCCAGGAAAGCCAAAAAATATTATAGCAGAATGAGATTTCAATGATCAGACACCTGAATTATACTTTGAGAAAGCTCAACCACCTGGTGGCAGGCTTCAGCAATCCATGTCCTTGCTGAGTGCGTGGTATAATTGCTATCTACATGCACAAAGTATTTGTAAGTTATCTCAACTTGAAGGAGAAAGCAATGGGAATGGCGACAGGAGAAGAAATAAAAACAAATTAAAGCATTATAAAAAAGGATGCAATCATATGATGGTGCATACAACATATGTCACCAACTTAGTTTTGTATGCCTAATTATCTTCATTTGAGCAACATGATCTTAAATTAAGAAAATTGTAAGGCTTCTTCATCTCAGAAGATTTTTACTTCTATGAATACCAGTAAGTGCAATAGGTCCAGTGCTTGAAACAGGGAAACTAACAGGGGAGTACACTATTTTTACTTCTCAGCCTTTTTTTGGCATGCCTTCCATTCTCCTTTTGGATCTTCAATGTGATTGTCACAGAGCGGTGGAGAAACTCTGCAATCTGCTCGAAATCCTTCTCAAACAACCATCTGGAAGTCATAGCTGAAGTACCTGCAAACAGAGAATCTCCTTACTCATTTATATCAAAGAAAAGAATGTCAAACTATCTGGTTTTCTGATTCATATTTCAACAGAAAACAAGTGAGTTTCGACGTTTTGAGTAAATTAAAAAGCAATCAACCCAAATCGTGAAAGCAATCAATTTACGGCATCACTAAACAAACACGCGCAGCAAACCAGATATGTCAGAATTACTAGACATGTAATTTGGTGGATACAGGCAAGCAACTTCAAGTTTTCATATCAATTATTCTTTAAATTCCACTTTGACATCTAAGCATTTAATGAAATATTGAGTACCACATGGCTAGAGCAGTCGAATAAAACCCATTTTGCCTAGTTAAATCATTTATCTCAGGAAATGGGGTAAATGGGTTTGAGCTGAAGTATTTAGTGATAAAAAAAACCACACTTTCAATTCAAGTCCACCTCGCTCCTCCCCTACTAGATTCACTGGTTTTTATGGGAGAAAATGTTGTAGTAATCCATAAAAGTCAGTTGTTCTAGGAGTCAATTCAAAAGACTCTTTCAGTCACATTCTCATGTGAGATCTATCTATTATCAGTAAAATGATGCCCTCAAATCAACAGTTCTTACCAATTCGTACCCCTCCAGGGGACAAGGCACTGCTGTCACCAAACACAACATTCTTATTCACAGTTATGTTACACAAGTCACAGAGCTTCTTAACCTTATTGCCTGCAACAAAAGCAACAAATAATTAGATTCCATGAAAAGACCAAAAAGATGAAACCCATAATTTGGTATATATTTCATAAATATTTAGAAAAAGTTGGTGCCCAGAATAAGAATAACAGTCAATAAGCATTTGTCAATGACTTCAAGTGACGGCATCACTATTGTTTACGAAATTAAATAATTAGTGTAAGGCTATATGGGGTTTGTGTTTTCCATTTATTATAATTAGAAACAACTTTGAGATTTCCCTATCACCCATATAAGCTAAGTTAATGGAGGGCTACAACTAGCTTCCCTAAAGCAACTTAAATTATTATTACTCGAAGCACGAACACCTTTGCACTCTGATAGTGCCCCTCTCATATGACACTGATTCACTTTTGCATGAGATTTCCTTTAAGGTATTATCTCATAGACCCGTATGTTAATGGGCCTTACGAGCCAAGCTACACATTGATCAAGCTCACATATTAAACAAAGAAGCTTGGAGTCTAGGCTTGAGGTTCATGTATTTGACATAATACAAGTTTGGCAAAGCTTTAAATAAACCGAAGCTAGAGCTTCTCAAAGCAACTCAGCTCATCTTATAGTTTGCTTATTGAGAGGCAATTGCGTAGCATGGACGATAGCACCTAAGCAAAAACTTGTAACCCAACCCAGGAAACCTAGGTCATTGGTAGGATAGTGAAAAACAGTAAGTAGATTGGAATAGATTGTCTTAAATTTATTGAAAGCAAAACTTTCTATATTAATTGTCAACCTAAAAGGATAATCAATACATTGCTGCCAACTCTTCCATAAAAATCATTTTATTCTATTCCATCTCATTTTAGTAAATCTAATAAAACATTATAATATTAAGCTCACAAGTGATAACTTGGAACTAAATTCAACCGTTGTGATTGAAACTAATTCTAACAGATTCTAGTTCCAATATTAAAATAAAATACAAAATATAATTAAAAAAAACGCAATATTTTAGAATTATTGGAAAAAAAATAAAAAAAAAACAGAACACATAAAGGATGGCACTTTGGAGTCATCAAATCCAAAGTTTCAACATAGAGAGAAAGGGCTTCAGGGGAAAAAAACAGGGGGTCACTTAGATATATCACTCCATTGAAACTGTTAAAATATTACAAATTTAATATTGATCTTCAAAGTTCTAGTGGTTCAGTTAAAGTCACTAATTTCTACTTGTCGTCGCCCTTGAACATGAAAATCCTCGCAACAGGTCATTACCAACAAAGTTATGGGATTTTTTCCATATCTAAAATAGCTACCTCATCCTAAATAAATCCCATTGTCAACAAATTCCCATTGACAAAATGAGCCTTATCAAATCGAAATTGTGCATACCCAGTGGCTTCTCAGGTCAAACAGTGTGTGCCACAAACCTTACTTCAAACTCCTTACACTTTGAGGGAAGAGTCAAATTGAACAATTAAAGTTGCATACCTCAAACTAAACTATGAGACCGCTCTCTATTTATCTACTTTCAATAGTTGAAGATGAAGTTAATGGCGTAGATTTAGCATGTTGAGACTCATCAGAGGAGCCTTGAGAAGCTTCCTTTTTCAACTTGTGGTTGTTATATGCAGCTACACCTGCAATGGCTGCATAAAAAACCATATTTCTTCGCTAGGTCAATAGGTATCTAAGAAACACAGATGTAAAAACAAGATGCAGATGCAACATAATACAGACATACTAAAACTACAATTTTCAAAAAATGGAGACAAAAAAATTGAAAATATAACAGAGAACACCCTAAAGTCTATTTTAAGAAGGCATAAGGATTCACAAACAAATTGGAAATTATTAGTCTTTATGGTTTGAAAAATTAAAAAGCCTGAAGAAGTAATTAGTTGGTATAAAAAACTTCTTTTCATTTTACTCTATTTTTTCCCAAACTTGAACCAAGGCCACAGATGTGCCTCACACATGCTAGCATGTCTGCTTTTTAAAAAATAAAAATAAAAAAAGGGCATAATTGGACACATGTTAGACATAGACATGCTGACCTAGGAGGCATGTCCATGCTTCCTAGATAGGTAATCTCTATTTCATGAAATCACATGTCTAACCAAAAACAAAATTAAATCACATATCTTTTTGTCTTGCACAAATAGTATAGTTTTTTGTTCTACTTTCTTGGAATTGATTTCCAATGTGAACAATCTATAACAGTAGAATATAAACAGTACAACATTGAGAATATACAAAGGGCATACTGAATATATAAATAAATATCATAATACTAATATCAAATTTTGAGACAATAAACTATAGTGAAAACCCAAAACAAAAGTATTTGTTATCGAAAAATTACCAATGCCATAACCAAACAGATTTATCATTGTCAGCATTGTATCAGCAAACAGAATGGCTGATAGTAAGATAACCACCCAATCCTTGACAACTCCAGCAACACGAATTGTTAAAGCACTTGTATGTGAGATCACAAGAAAAACTGATAGATTGAGTGCAAAAGTACAGAGAGAATTGAGTGTTAGGATAACAGGTTGAAAGCTCCATGTCCCTTGGGTATCCATCTTTGGCTTCTTTAGAAAAATCCACAGAATGAACAAGCAAAGAGCACTGCACAAGAACTATGATTCCGTTCACATGGCAAAAAGGTTCTGCATATAAACATCAAATGGTGAAAGAAATAATGATAACAATTAAACTTTGGCAGATGAAAATACATGCCTGCAGGGACTAACGCAGTACATGACAGAAATAGGGTTTAGTTTGAGACCCTTCCTTTTAACAAAAATCTCCATGAATATAAGCCTCAAAGCTTTCCCAACAACACCTCCCATTTGGTAAACCAAACCAATCCAGTTAATATCAATCTCCTCATATGAAGCCACTAGAACACCAAAACTTATCACTGACATTATTAAAAGCATTCTACTACATTCTTCAAATATAGAATAGCAATTTTGGGCATTTAAAACCCTAGAAATCATTGCCATCTTATATCCTTTTCAATTTGTGTATGATATGAAACAAGTTAATCTATTTCCTAAACAGAGAGCCATTAATCCATCTTCATGGGTGATCTCATGCTTAAGGATAAGATTGCACCAAGTCAGTTCCATACAAATTCTTATCAAATCTAGAACTAGATAAACCTGGGTCAATACTAGAATTCCAACCCAAAACCGAGTGGAGGAACAATGTATTAATATAAATAAAACCAAACCAAAATTCCTTGGGTGGGATACAGAGCAAAGAGGGACCACCTACCGAAGCAGAATGAAGTAACGAGGTGTAGCACAATGACAGCAACGGCAAACGGCGGAAACCATGAGAAAGGGAGAACTTCCAATCATGAGAGAACGAGTGAAAATCGTGGGGAGAGATGAGGGTTTTTACCTACCAGCGAAAAAAGAGAGGGGAATTTGGGAGGGATTGTAAAAAAGTGAGGTGCCTGTTTGGTTTGAGTTTTGTTTTCTAATTTTTTTTCTTGTTTCATTTTTAAATGTTTAAGAATTATTCATATCCTTTCTAAAATTATGTAACAAAATTTTACATATTATTTTTACTTTTTTATTATATGTGACAAAATTTTATAGTTCATCACGGATTATTCTTATTTAGTGATGAAATTTATTTTTTTCACTACTTTTTGTCACCATAGGTTACTTAGAAAGCTAATTAACTTGTGTTTTGTTTTGAGAGAGAGAGAGTGAGAGAGAGAGGGGAGAGGAAAAATGAGAAACAAAAAAAAAAAGGAGGGAAGTTAGTAGTCTATTTTTTTTCATTACCGCCCAATATGTCAAAAATTTCCCTTTAAAATTAGTGACAAAATAATTTCCTCACTAAAAAGTCGCAAAATATTAAAAATTATTAGTGACAAAAATATATTTCTCACCAAATGGTCTTAAAAAATTTAAAATCAAGTTTCTCAAAAATATATATATATACAATTATTGGTGACGAAAATATTTTTCTCACTAATAATTTTATAATTGGTGACAAAAAAATTTCTCACCAAAAGTCTCAAAATTTTGACGCCACCAAAAAAAAATTAGTGGGAAAACCTTCGATGACGAAACTTAATTTTTCCTCACCTAAAAAAAAGTATTTGTTGACAAAAATAAATTTCGTCACCTATTATTTTTATTTTTTGTTATATGTGACAAAATTTTATAATTCGTCACGGATTATTTTTATTTAGTGACGAAATTTATTTTCTTCACTACTTTTCGTCACCATAGATTACTTTTGTTGTAGTGATTGTTTTGGGTATTCCACATAGAAACAATATGAGAACTTATGTGAATATATAAGTTTTAAGTTGACATATTTGGGTTGGGCCCCAAGGAGCATCCCAAGTTTTGTGAGGAGAGGAGTTATGGACAAAGTGGGTTTAAACCAAATCCACCGCACGCGCTGCCGTCTATCCATCCGAGTTACGGGTCGAGTCCTAGCTTAATTTTTTGGACAAAATTCATTTGAATTTTTTCAAATTCTTACAAGAAAATTTGAAAGCTAAAATTCAAATTCAAATTTTTGCTTCCTGGAATAGTGCCTCTTCAGTCGCCTTTCTTCACTTTTTGACTGTTCCAGGTTTCACACATGTTCGAAGGGTTTTCTATCCTTCCAAACAGACGCCTCTTGACCTATAAATTCAGGGTCCTCCAGCGAATTCTTTTCAATCCAAATTTTTCTTTTTGTTTTCCTTCTGTGCTACATGTTCTTCATATTAGTTCATAGAGTTTTCAGAGAGTTAGAAAACTTAGGTTTGGTTCGCCTGATAGATTGTTTGTAGTGCTGTTACAAGCTATGTAAGTGATCATTGTATCTTGGGAAATAGACGCCGATAATCTGTAAGTATTTGTATGGCGGCGAATCTATCTTAAGGAGAGAGTGTCACACACTCAACTTGATCATAGTCTTACTGGTTTTATTTTTCAAAACAAGAACTTTTTGTAAGTAAAGTATTTTATTTGTTCCAGTTTTATTTGTTTTATTATTTGTTACATAGAAGATTGTTCCAACAGATTATTCAATCTTGATTTAAAAATATAACATACTTTAAAATGTGTTCAAATTTATCACATTTGTTTTTTTAAGACGATTTTGCACCAGTATTAATTGAGTAGAATTTGAATATTTTTAATTTTTATTGTGTATATAAATTTGTCAAACCAATTGCAAACCAAGCTCAAAAAGTTGACAAGTTTAAAAATGTGTTCAAAGTTGATTTATTTACCGAACCAACTCAAACAAACATAAATTGGCATCACGTAACTTATTTCATTTTCCATCTCTAAAATAAGGGTTATTATCTTGTGTTTAGAATCGCATCTCTCATTTGCTTATCTCCCGCACATAATTTGGATTGGAAAAATACTATTCAAGTCACATGTTTCATTTCAACTATTTAAATTATTATTTTGTAAAACCCTTTATATATATCAATTATTTAAAAGAAAAAAAATGTGTCGATCTGATTATCGTAATTTCTTTATTTGATGACATTTTGTCTTCAAAATAATGAACGTCTATTATATTTTTAAAAATAGACCATTCATATTTAAAACAAACACATAAGATGAATAAGTTACGATTATAAAATTAGCTTAATTTTCTTTTTTTATAAATAATATATACAAAAATCTTACAAAAATGAACTGGGCCAGGCCCATAATGCGCCCACCGGGTGGACAACACTCTCAAATTCATATTATATATGGAATAGAAGGCCACTCACCGTGTTGTCATTTTCGACAATTTAGTCGGCCGAAATATTATTTTCATCAAGAAAAATGCTATATGCCAGATTTTTTTACTGACTACCGTTATTATTATGTGTGAATTATATTTTCCACCTTTATAATTTAGTTCTTATAATTTTAATTTGAATAATTTAGTTATGCACTTAACTCTAATTTTAATTTGGTTCTTCCATCTAAATTTTTGTTAATTTTGTCTACATGTAAACCTTAGAAAATTGACAATTAGGTCGATTTACTTTAAATCTAGTTTCAATTTAGTTTTTCTATCTAAATTTTTGTTAATTTTATCTACGTGTACGCTTTAAAAAATTAGCAAGTATCCTAAAATTATTAATTTTAATCTTCAATTTTAGATAGAAGAACCAAATTAAAACCTTAGAAAATTGACATGTTTACGTGTATATTTTAGAAAATTGACAAGTGTCCCAAAATTATTAATTTTAACCTTTAATTTAGATGGAAGAACCAAATTAAAACCTTAAAAAATTGACAAGTATTCTAAAGTTATTAATTTTAACTTTCAGTTTAGATGGAATGACCAAATTAAAATTAGATTTAAAATGTATAAACCAAACTAACCCTATTATTATTATTATTATTATTATTATTATTATTATTATTATTATTATTATTATTATATGTATATGTAGCATAGTTCTTTATGTTATGCAAAACATGTAAAAAAAAAAATCCTTCAAAAAAAATACTGGGTACTAATTGTAAAGTGATCTAGAAATCTCTTCACTCTCAAACAAGTTTCTTTTATGCTATAAACACGCTCGGTGGAACTTCATCATCAATATTTGAAACTTTCAATAGGTAAAACACACATTACAACTACAAACCAAGTGAGCAATTAAAAGGTAGAAAATAGTAGTTCAATTTTCGATAATAAAAGGAAATTTTATTGAAACATGCTTAGCTCTTAATGAGACAAGTATTTTCTAATGTATTCAGCTGAGATTTTTATAAAAATAATGCTATACATAATTTTATTTCTTATTTCAATTCATCATTCCTAAACACAAAGCAATGGGGTTCATATTTTTAAATGCATAGAGAATTCACACATTTGTGGCTTGAAGTAAAAAATAATAGAGTAAAAAATAAAATTATATGTAGTATTTTCTTTTCATAAATATGAACATGGTGGTACTATATGCACCAATTAGTGTACAAACTAGTGTACCAACTAGTGTTATGATATTATTATTGACCACATTTATTATACAAGTTACATAAAATCATACAAATAAGAGTTATGTTAGGGACCCCAAACAAATTACCAAATTTTCTACCAAATCTCTCACATGAGTGTGGGACCCACACACATTTGATTTGTGTGGATCCCACACCCATGCGAGAGGTTTGATAAAAAAATTGGTAATTTGTTTGGGATCCATAGCATTTTCCTACAAATAATGTCACATCATCTATTTGTACACTAGTGTGTACATTAATTTATATAAATAACATTATTCATATGAACAAGTAGGTTGGTCATTAATTTATTATTAATGTGCGTAGGGTCATAAATGAATAGAATCGTCTTTAATAGATTATGGCATTGTTTGGGAACTTGGTTTGGGACTAAAATAGCCACAAAAAACAAAATAGGTTATTTTAGCCACAAAAAACAAAACATCAAATCCAACCCATAATCATTCAAATCCTCTCCCACAAAAAAAGTCAAAAAAGCCAAAAAGCCTTCCCAAACCAGGCTAAAATAGCCCAGGCTAAAATAGCCAAAAAGCCAACCCACTTCCCAAACGGAGGCATGCAATCTTGATTTAAAAAGTTAGAGATTTTAAAATGTGTTTAAGTTGAGGAGAATTTTACAATACATACTCTTTATCATATGCATCATTAGTTATGTCATTTTTTTTAGTTATGATATTATTTTAATACGTTTAGTTATGCCGCTATTTTTTTTATTTAAATTATGACTCAAAAAATATGGAATTATATAATTTTCTTCTTTACTTATAAGGTTTTCCTTAAGTTTATCTCATTTATTTTTCAAGATTTCACATCAATTTTAATTGAGCCGTGTTAGAGTATTTTTACTATCCTATTTAAGTCATATCATCTTATTTAAGTCATATCACCTCTCTATGTACCAAAACCTACCACTACACCTACTCCACCCACTTCACCTACTCCACCTACTACTCTACCTACTACATACCTACCTCCTTTAATCTTCTATATATAGGACTCATTGTAAACACAAAACACATCAATCAATAATACATTAATTTTTACAACTTCAAACCCAATCCATATTTTATAAAAAGTCAAAAGTGCACTTATTTAGAATATCTCAAACAAATATAGTCTGTCAATAATATTACCATTCAATAATTTTTTAGCATTTACCTTCTCATTAGGGGTGAGCAGCAGATGTTTCAATTCGTTCAAACCGACCGAACCGAACCAAACCAAACCGATCCGTCGTATTTTGGACGGATACGTGATGACTAGTGGATGGTTGCGGATCGATTTTTTTCAATCCGCCTAATTT